ATTGAACCCGAGCCCGCCCGCACCCGACAAGATTGAACCCGAACCCGTCCGCACCCGTGGGTCGGGCTCGGGTGCGGGTCGGGTTGCAGTACTCTAACGAGAGTAAAATAAACAAAAAAATGAATTTGATCTATTCTGTTTTTTTTTGTTTTCTATTTTAGTTTTTATTGAACTAAAAAATTAGTCTTAAAAAATATATTAATATATAAATGAAAGTGATTTTCAAGCTGCTATACTCGATTTACTTGTTCAATTACTTTTAATTCGTGTTAATAATAGTTAATTAGAAGCTGATGAAATTCGTTGCATTTCTAATCGTTTCGTTTATTTTTAAATAGCATTTTATTTATTGTATTGCTGAATTTCTTGCTATGTTATCACATGATACACTTCATTCAAAACAATTTATTAAAGTACAAGATTTAATAAAACATTATGATTAATTATTAGCAAGTGGACATGAACCTGAAACACATGGTAGGAAGTAAAAAAAAACATTTTCGAGAAAAATAAATTATCGTTAAAATTCTTTATTTAGCTTTGGCAGCATTAAAACTAGTTTTATATGATTTTTTTTCTTGTTCGAGTTATGCGAATAATTAAAATTCCTAAAAAGTTTTATTAAATGAGAGTGAACAAAAAGTGTCCTTCTATAAAGTCTCAAATATCTTAGAAACTCGAGAGGGTGTGAGTGTGGGTGTGCAGATGTAATTTTTCTCCTCGATTGAACCTACACCAACACTTCAACGAATCGATGATCTGAAAATAATCATCTTGTTGTTATGTATTTGAGTTTGAAGGAAAACTAGGCGTCTTAATTATTATAAATACAAGTATCTTTTCATGTCATGTGTATGTACTGAAAAAATAATAATAGAATTTATATTGTTATAGGCTTTACGATTGTTCACAGTTATTGTTAATAGTGTTCAAATTGAAGATGATAAATGGGAACGTCTTTCACGACAAATTGTCGATTTACTTCTTGCTCATTTACAATCTCAGGTTATTTTTTTTGTTCAAATAGGATCAATCACTTTTGGATATTTATTCCACAGAATTAACACTATTTGATGTTATCTCATCAGTTGCATTACGATCAATTGATCCATTTGTTGTTGCTTTTCGAGCACTAGTAAATAGAAATGTTCGTTGTTTTTATTTATAAAATTTTCCTATAGCTTAAAATTCTTTTTAGAATGTCAATTGTCAATCTACAAATCGATAGTTAATCAATATAAATATAATATTTCGATGTCTTGTAGAAAATTTAACTGAAGATGCTATATTAACACGATAGAATGATGTTTTATTATCAGTTAATGGAACACGAGATGAAACTTTTAGTGCATAAGTATTCGAAATGATTTTATTTATAATTTGAAAACTTTTATTCTCGTTTTTGTTTTCAGAGCTTTTCTTCGAATTTTACATGACGTAATATTACGAATTTTAACTAATACTTGACAATTATGGGGTCAAATCAATATGACATTAGTTTCTCTTGCATCCGATTATCTTTATGTACATATCACCCATTAATTTGAAGATAAAACTTTTCTGCAATTCATTAATTACTAATGAGCTAGCGAAATACATTTGACTTTAAAATTCCTATACTAATATAAGATCTATGATTTTATTTTAGCTAAACAAATTTCGAACAATTGTAAATGATTTTCATCAATTATGAATTCATGATGAAACTGTACATTGTCTTGAGACATTTTCATTTTTAACTATTTTAAATGAATGTTTTAAATTATTATGATCATTATTTTATATCTCATTATTATTACAATGGACACCTATTCTGAATATACTTGATTATATACAAGAAGCATGGTGGTCACCGACATTAACACCATCATCATCAAGAATACATTTATCTATAAGTAGTCAATTACAATCTTATTGTGGTTTAATATATTATCATGAATTATATGTTAAATATCGAACATCAATAATAACACATCATCAATTATTCTTTTTATTTGAACAACGTGATATTTGTACATAATTTATTTGGTTTTATGCATCATACATAAGTTGCAAGTCATTAATTTTTTTTGTGAAGGAAAACATTTAGATGAAAGTGGTCTTCTATTAGTTTTATTAATTGAACAATTTCTTCCATTACCATTATATAAACAACTATTACCTAAATATTTACCATTAATATTATAAATATTATCAATAACAATATCAGACGATATTATTAAAGAAGATTTTAATAATCTTAATTGTCCTATGGATATAACAAGAAAAATTTATGAACAAATGCTTAAAAATATAACTTATAAAAAAATGATTACCATTTATGATGTCACCGGTATATTTTAGTTTAATTTATCGAAATAGATAAATATATATGTATAATAAAAATTTTAATCCAATTAAAAGAAATGTTTTTGTTTTTACTTTGACATTGTTAATGTGCTAGTAATAGATGAGACTTTTGAATAATTCAAAATTTCGAAAAATATTTTGAAATAGAAAATATGCAGAATTTCAGGTAATACAAATCGTAAAGGAAAGCATTTAAGCTGCATTAGTACAATGACCGAATAATTCCTCTCGAATCTTATTGATCAAATTCTCAGTCGTGCTATTTGTACTATTACAATTAAAGAAAACGACGTCTTTCTAATATTATATTTCGAAATAAATTGCATTCGAGAATTTCGATAAACTTTCTATAAGTTTGAACTCGTGAACTCCGAAAACGTATTGGATTTTTTCCACAGCATTAAATTTTTAGGATGATTCTTATAGTAAATGAAAATTGACTTTAGAAAATAAGAAACAATATAAATCTGTTCTTTGTTTGTTTTCCTAGAATTTTGTATAGTTATATCAAATGAAACAAATTAAAATGACATTGAAACCACACCTAATACAATTTATGAAAAAAGTCTTTTGTCACGCTTCTAATAATCAACCATATTCAATTACATTCATAGATTCTCTATCAATATATTTTGATACAATACAAAATCATGTTGAATTAACATGTCAATTTTCAACAGGTGATATACGCGATTTATTACGTTTTATAATATTTATATCAGAAATAATTTATATAAATATTTTTCAAAAAAAAAACATCATTTCTTAGTTGTGAAACAGATCAAATAATATCATGTTGTACATTATCGAAAACACTATTATCAATATTTGAATATCTTTATCAACGACATGGTTTAACTATATCAAATATATTATAATCATATTTAAATTTAATTGAACCAGATAAAAGATCATCTTTATTATTTAACAAAAAAAATTAAATATATATATATATATATATATATATCATATATTTATTGACATGATTTATATTGTATAGCTATATTATTATTTTGTTTACCAATATTTATATAAAGACAATTTTGGAGTTGGTTGATTATTAAGAATACAATTTCAAGAAATATAGGCTTCATTTTTAGCTTCAATTAATTCACCACAAATCAATCTAATGATGAAAATAAACAAACAACAAATAATTTAAAAAAAATAGAAGAAACTTTAGAAACAAATGTAACACAATGGTAACAAGATTGAAAAATAAACTAGATTTTATCTGTTCTTTTTTTATCGATGGTCAATATATGCAAATACGTTCAATATTAGATACTAGTTCAAATAATTTATTTACAAATATTGAACGGTTAGGTACACGTGATTTATTATCCTATGGACAACTTTCATATGATACTATATTAACATCAATCCAAAGTAATAATACATTACCATTATCAGTTAATGTAAGTCTCACATATGTTTTAATAATCGACAAATAGAACTCTAAGTTAAAAGAAAGATAAATTCATTACTAAATTATTAATTTCATCAAACAGAAAATCTAGTGTTTCTCTGACTTTGATTTGATATATAATACATGCAAACTATCTTATTTCATAGAAATAAAAGCTTATATCAATAATTTCAAATAAATTCTATCAATCAAAAAATTAGATTATGAACATTTTCTTTTCTGGCATCCATCTTTAAAAATATATAATTTAGAGTTTATTTGATCGATTATTTTTTCATCATGGTTTTGATTTAACATTATCATTACAAATTCTAATTGAAATATATGTAATATGAATTAATAGGTTCATTTATATATCTATCTGATTTATTTCCACCATCATAACATTTATCAAATTTATATGATGAATATTTTCGTACATGGTTTGATGAAGATGATTTAATGATAACCTTAATAAGTTATAATTTATGTAAATCTAGTATATTACTTGGACAAACAACAAAAGAATATAATGAATTATATCTACGTTTAATTGAACGTAATTATAAATTAATAACTAAAACTCATGCATATGCATCATGTTTATTCATGAAGTTGATTTAAATTCATATGATATTTGATTATCATTAATTAATGGTGATAATTTAACACAAAAAATTATATCAATTAGTCTTGAAAAACTTTTACTAGTTGGTCAATATCCCAAAAATGATATATGGTGCTAATACTTTCACGTATTTATACATTATTACAACGACCAAATAAAAATACAAAATCCACTAAATAATGAACATGTTAATAAAGAACAAACAATAATTGATAGTTCATCAATAATATCATCATCAGATAATATTCTTATTGAACTTGTTGAAGAATTATATGAACGTACTAAACAATCATCAACATTACCATATGAAGCTTTACTTTTATTACGTCCTTTATCATTATTACTTGCACATATTAGTTTTTTTTTCGTGCTTTAATTAATGCACGTTATTCAGCTAAAGTTAATGAATGGACTTTATTATCAATGACAAATATTGCGCAAAGAAAATCACTATATATGGCTATATGGGGGTTAACTTGTCTTATGTTAAGTGCATGTCTATCACAGGGTGTGGGTGAAGACAAGACCTATAATGATACCCACACCCACACCCTCTTATGAGTAAAATAGAATGAAGTTGTATTTGGACTGTTGGATGAACTATTTTTTTTTCTGCCTATGGTTAAATATTCTTCCTAGTTTTCTGTATAAAAATTATGAAGACTTACACATACGATTGAAATTTATTTAGAAAAGATAAATAGTAGAACACTAATGAAAAACAAAAACTCTTTGTTGCAATCCGAAAAGATGACGATCAATACAAAATCAATAAATTTCGCCATGAAATGTCAAAATGAATTTTCATTGATAATATAGTATATCTTTTACTTTTTTAGGTTTTTATTGATGTTATCACGTTTCAGTGCTCGTTTTGAAGAATCAGACAATCGTTTATTTCTTATTGCTGATCGAAAATAATATCTGCAGGTATATTAAAAGAAAACATGCAAATAACAATTGTATCAACAAAAAATAAAAACTCTATTTTATTTATTTTAGTTAACGAATATTGAACATTGACGTCAATTTGAACAAGCATTCATAAATGAATCGAATCTAGAAAACTTATATGCTGATTTACTTGAACACGTTCAAAATACGGTGTGGATGTAGATGTTGTTTGGATATGTTGATGAATCATATACTCTCTCTCTGTCATCCATACTCACATCCTCAATAAAGACTAAAAATATCAATTTATAAAATGGAAACATAGCAACAAGAATTAATTTATCTACTTTTTTTCTTTTTACTAGAATTGGTCTCTATTATAACAATCATATCTAAATTTTCTAAGCCAATCAGAATAGATTGTCATTTATTTTGTGCTCTAATTTCTGTTTGACTTATTGATTTATATTTCATATCGTATGTTTTTTTATGATTTCAATCATTGATTTAACTAGTAAATAAGTCGATTACATGCATCCATTAAACATATTTTAGCCATTGAAGTTTTAACAAAAACTTTTTCTAGGCCATGTCGTTAGAGTTTAAGAAAAAGTTGCACAACATCTGGATTAAAACTTGCATTTATAACCAGTACTTTTAATAATATCAAGAAGAATGTGAGCATAAATGTTGATATTCTGTTTAACCACATCTACACTCTTTGAATCGTTTTGGTTTAGTAGATTATATGTAAAAAGCAGCTACCATACTTCATCCTATTGAACTGTTTTCTGAAAGTCCATTGAAAATGATAAATTCAAAAAATCTCGCACTACACAATTGTTTCTTTTTATTCAAATAATAATTCTTTTTTCTTGGTTTATTATTCGTATTTTTTATTATTTTATTATTAATACAAAAAGAATTTCATAATAAAGAAAAAAATTGAATATTTTAATGTAAAAAGCAATTCATCATTGACAGTATTTAACGATAACTATCAGAAAAGGAATCAAACCAACTTCCACGGGTTCGAGTTCAGTTCGATGACTGACAAGCGCGGTATTATCCTGTAAAATTATTTTAGATTGTAAATTTCTGAGAATTTTTTTAATGAAAAGCATAAGTTAAAACTCAACAATACAATCATCAAAATGCATGAGTTCAGAAAAAATAAATCATAAATAACGAAAATCCAATCATCACTAAAGAATATTCTGTAAGAAAATGATCGCACCATGTTCCTGTTACATTCTAAAGATACTTAAAGGCTTGTAAACACATTCTAGAATACTTCAAACATATTTAGATTTTATTTTAAATTTATTTTACTTTTTTAAAATTTATTTCTGGATTACTGGTAAATGTTTACAAAATGTAAATTGATCGCTTTGCAAAATATTCCATCGAACATCGTTTGATAATCACATATAACATCACAACTTTACAAAAATGATTATATTTTAGCTAATCATTTTTTTTTCATATGCCTATCTATATTTATTCATTTTTTCAAAATTACTAATATCTGTTTATGGAAGAAGTCGTTGTTTCAATGAATAGTATGATGCTGAATCCTATTCTATTTTCATTACTGAAAATAGG